GTGCATGTGCCCCCCCTATGCATTGCCAGTGGTGTGGCGGGTGTCACATTCACACTCCTTTGTTTTCCCAGCTTGTTCCCATGCTCAGAGTAGCTAACTCTCCCTTGTTGCAATTCAAGCCCCATCCTTTCTGCAATGGGTGCAGATACAGGAGGGAGAGACAAAAAATGACATACAGGAGGGAGAGACAAAAAATGACACGAGCAGTGCTGTGGCTGCTCACAGACCAAGCTGGTACAGAGTTGGAAGGAGGTGAATGAGGAGCAGATAAAAGGGATCTATGGAGTCCTCCAGAGAGGTATTAAAAACAAGAATAAGTTTGACTTGGTCCCTAAAAAGAATGAGCCAGTGGAAGCATCTAAGGATGAGAGTTAATGTTCAGGATATCCAGAATGTTTGTGCTCCATTGAATATGTCGGGAAAATGGCAGCCTCCAGGGAGCTTAGGATGTTGGAGGGGTGTATGTGAGCAAGGCAAGAGGAGATGGCTTGGCAGATGGGGGATAGTGACAGCAGGCTTGCAGACTAACAGTGACTGAGGGAAGGCCCCAGGGGTTTCTGGAGTATTTATCTGGGCCTTTCCTTGCAGGCTAAGATTAGCTGGAAACTGTTTTGTTTCCTTTCCTGAACTCTGAGTGATGAGTTGTCCAGGAGGAAGTGGATAACCATTGTTATGGTAAGTTTGGAATGCTGTCTAATTCCATGAGAGCTGTTCTCTAAACATAGCAGAAGGTTTTGCAGTGAGTAACTGTTCTTCTGAGAGCTCAGAAAACAGACTTTAGGCTGGGTTTTACTTTGCCTTAGAGAATGAGTTGTTGGAACAGTCCATCACACCTTGTTTTCATGATTCTTTTCCTTTGTATAATACAACTGAGCCTGGTTTTTAGCCTGAATGTCTTCTATAGTACTATAGGGACACATCCTGGCCAGCATGTCACTTGGCAAACAAGCAGTCGGTGTGTCTGGAGTCTAACGTCTCTGCTGATTCCCAGAGGGAAACAAAAAGGTTGTGGGCTGGGTAGAGGCTCCACACAATGTCAGTTTTCCTACTTCAAAGTGCTGAAGGAACTTTAGAGAAGCAGTCTGTGCTGAGGAGAAGACAAACCCCTGTGTCATGCCCACAGGGCTATTCAAGGTGAACAAAAAAGGTATCGAGAGACTGCCGCATAGCATCCTGGAGTCTGCTTAACTGCATGCCAGGAGCCTATAGAGCAGGGAAGGGTGTGAATAGGTAAGAATGAGCAGTGTAAGCAGGGAATTCTCGTGCAAAATAAAGACCACTTATATCTTCCCATTTCTGTGCTGCAGGCAGTTTCCTTTGGCAACAGGGAGTGGTTTATCTTAGCTGATAAGGGTTGCTTGGCAAACCTTATGTTGATCTGTCAAGTGAAGTTCCTTGGACACAGCCCTATTTTCTGGAGCAGTGAATAAACTGGGGACACTTCATCTGTGTCCTGTTATCTTTGCTTGATGGAGCAAAGTAGAGAGCCATAGCCATGTCTGATACGGGGAATGGAAAGTAAGTGTCTGTACTGACTGACTGCAGCTGTAGAGGTACCCTCTTGCAGTAATACCTGCATTTAGAATAATTGTAGTGGGGAATCCCTCCTACCTAGAGCTGGTACATCTTATCAAATGCTATCCATGTAGATTCCATGTATTCCATGTTATCCATATATCCTCTCCTCCAGGCATTCCCCAATATTTTTTTTAATGGCTCATCACTAGAGATGAGCACACCCTGCCCCATTGCAACGTATATTGCATAAGTATGTGATGTTTCCTCACAGTATCCGTAAAAAAAAAATCAAATGTATGAGCAGCAGCAGAATAGCAAAGGCACACTTAGATTCAGTGACGTGTGGTGGCAGCCATGTTGCAAGGTTCAGGATTAGGGTCTGTTCAGATAAATACCTGGGCTCTGAGTGCTCAGCTTTGATCACAGAGTCCAGAGATACCTCACCACATAAGAAATTCCTGCCCCCCCAAATTATATCTTTTACTCTTCTGTGCATATGAAACATTATAACCAGAAGGAAATATGACTACATCCTGCTTGCCACCAAAAAACTTCAAGGTAAACAGACTATTCCAACTTTTCTCTCAGCCTAACCTGCATAAAATGAACTGTTCCAAGCAGGAGATTTTACCACACCTGGAACTCTCCTATGAAATATGAACTTCCATTTCAACCTAGGAGAACTCTTACAATCTTTTCTCCTTTGCCTGATGAAGGGTGTTTGTGCCTGAAAACTTGCAATTAAATAATTTGTTTTGCAAAAATCTAGTTGGTCTAATAAGATATCACCTCTACCTCTAGTTCTTATTCCTTTCAACTTTGCTGCATTCCTCAGTCAAAGCCCCATGATCATTCCTCTGGTTGTTTCTCCAGGAGACATTATCTTCCCCTTGCCTTCATCCTGGGACATGAGGAAGGCTACAGGGTTTTCACTTATCTCCAGTGTCTTGTGCATGTTCTCCTGTCTACCATTTCTGTGGTAATCCCACTATCTCTTCTCTTTAGAGGTTTCCTTTTTTTCTGTGTCCTTTGCAAATTCCCCTTCCTAGTGATTTCTTTTTTCCCCTGAAGTACTGGGTTGCCTTTCCCATAAGGATACAGGACAACCTAGGGTTGTTAATTTGTTGATATAGGCCCTGCTGACCCTACCTCACATAGGCACAGATGCATGGGGCATGCTTCTTTTGGCTTCTGCCTGTATTGCAGCTACATTCCTGATGGGGACAGAGTAAGGAAAGAGAAGGGGCTGGGAGGTGGGGTGTATTCAGCTGTGCTCACTGAGGAAAGGATCTTCACCTACATAGTAGCAAGAAGAGGTTGCTTTTCTCAAAGCAGGAGAGTAGAGAAGGCAGGCAGGAGAAATGCACCAGATA